GGCCTTGGCTCTTGTTCTGGGAAGGGCCACCCGGCAGGGTGTGACTGTGACGGTGACACACTCCGCGGGGAGCCTCCGGTGGAGCGGACGCAGCGAGGAGGGCAGGGCTGAGCACCGAGGAGGAGGCGTGTGCTCCGGAACCGCCTCACCAGCCCTGTCCCCTCCCCTGCCCCACACAGCAGCCCAGCCCAGCCCAGGGGCAGCCCTCGCCCGGCCACCTGAGTGGGGACCTCAGCTCGTGGGCCGGTTGCCCCCCACTGTGGGGTCGTAAATGAAACGAGCTGTCACCCAGGAGAGGGCGGAGGCAGAGGCCGCGAGCCGGAGTGACCGTCCTGGCAGAAGTCCAGGAGCCCTCCGCCTCCGCGGCCGCGGGCTGGGGGCGGGGACGCAGCCGGCGACATCCGCAGCCGCCGCACCTGTGTGGTCCAGGCCCACCGCAGCCCTGAGGCCCCCGGCTTCCTATTTTTAGTTTGGGGGCTCAGAGCCGCCGATGGCTTCAGACATTTTACATCCACCCGAGAGCCTGCCCCCCACCCGGCCCAACGGAGCCGTCCTGCGGAGCGGGCGGCGGCCTCCCATGTGCCACCGTCACTGCTGAAGCCGGAGAGCGCTCTGGTGTCCCAACAGTGGCAGCTGCTGGGCCACCAGCCCTCCTCTGTGCCAGGATTCGCTCACTCACTCACCCCGGGTGCCAGAGGCAGGAAGAGGAGGCCAGGGCAGAGCAAGCCCCGGAGGCTCCTCAGAAGAGGCGTCCTCCCCCGGACAAGGTGGTGGAGGTGACTGGAAATCCGCCCAGCAGTGAAGCCGCAGGAGGGCCTTGGGCAGCAGCGTCCATGCACACAGGCCTGCGGAGCCTGAGTGGGGCCCGCGCTGGAGGCGTGTGGCCGGGAGGAGTAGGGGACTGTGGGGAAGGGGAAGGGACAGGTCCAGGTCAGGGGGCACGGGGAGCCGAGCTGAGGAGTGTGCAGGCGCAGGCCTGGGGGTGGGCGTGCAGAGACCTGGTCACAGGCTACGGCAACAATCGAGCACAGGAGTGTGACATCTGTGCAAACTGATGGGAGAAGGAGCTCCCGTGGCCTCATAGACCTTCGCACTCGGGTCTCAGGAAGGACACCTTGCCCCAAACTCCCGTGTAAATGCCTCCCACTCCCTGGGGGGGGGGACAGTGGCTTTAAAAGGAGCCCCTGGGGACAAGATTTCAATAGTAGCCAGTTAATCCACAGTCAGCCCTTGCCTGTACCCGCCCCAGCCCAAGAGTATTGGGGGAATCCTTAGGTCCTGCCTCAGTTTCCTTAGGACAACCCCTGACCACACCCGAGGTCACAGGCAGCCTCAGCCTAGAGAGCCTGGGGCTCACAGTCTGGCCACTCAGTCGCCTCTGGGGTTTGAGGAGATAAAGATTATGAGATGGCACCCAAGGTTCCCAAGTTCCATGCATTATGTTTAATTATTATTATTTTATTTTTTATAGTGTACCCTAAGGTTCCTTCAGACTTTTTCAGTTTGACTCTTCTCTCCCCACCACACACACACACACACTTGTTTTTAATTGGTGCATTATAGTCCTACAGACTCATGGGGTCTGTTCCATCTTTGCACGCGCACGGTGCACAAAATAACAATATCCTTTGGCCGGTGTCACTCCCCTGTGCTTCCCCCTCCCTCCCTTTCCTCTGCTGACCTCCCTTTGGTTTCATGAGACTCTCCCCCACCTTTCCCCCCCCCTTTTCCTCTCTAGCTTTCGCCTATGAGGGGGGAAAAAAATCTATGTATTACATTTTAAAATGACACTAAATAGCACATGATCATGAGAGGAGACAAAGACAATATAGATCCCCCAAGAAACACGGCTGCTAATCCCACCCCAAAGATAACCAGGTCAACATTTTGGGGGTTTCCATTGCAGTTGGATGTTTGTTGATTATAACTATATAAATACTTTTTAGGAATAAACATTTGTCTAGGGCTGGGGATGTGGCTCGAGCGGTAGCAAGCTCGCCTGGCATGCGTGCGGCCTGGGTTCGATCCTCAGCACCACATACCAACAAAGATGTTGTGTCCGCCAAAAACTAAAAAATAAATATTAAAAATTCTCTCTGCCTCTCTCTCTCTGTGTCTCTCTCTCACCTCTCTCTTAAAAAAAAAAAAAAAAGAAAAGAAACATTTGTCTAACCAGAATCACGCTGTATGTAGCTTACCAGCTAATATGGTTTAAAAATAAAGATTAAAAATTATCTAGAATAAAGTCTCTGGCAAGATGGGACGATAACTGTTTTCTCTTTTCCTCTGTACATCTTTCTGTCCTTTCTAAGTTTTTCATGTAAGCACCCTGCATGGAGGGGCGTGTGTGTAACTCCCAGACTGAATAAGCATCCAGACAGAGGGAATGGAGATCATGCTGGCTCCAAGACCTGTGTCATCCACCAAAATGCCAGCTCTTCCAGGGAGCCTTCCCTGATGCTCCGTTGGTGGGTTTGATGCCTTCCCTTTAGCTCTGGAATAATAATACTTGCTAATACTTAATGCTTAGGCTAAATAGTTCACATTTTCCAACTCAGCTTACTGATCCCCGTTTTACAGGTGAAAAAAATTTGAGGAACAAGGGAAGAATTCACTCCAGTCGTCACTATGGCAGAAGAATAGTTGAAAAGGTTGAATTTAAATTTCCTACCAAAGAAAGGGGCTGGTAGCTCAAAGTAAGAATAAATTTAGCCTTGGAGGAAAGGCAGAGTGCCCCGGGACAGTCTTGTTATAAAGACAGTCATCAGGGGAGAAAGAATGATGAGAAAATGTCTTTTTTTTTTTTTTTTTTTTTTTCTCAGCGGACACAACATCGTTGTTGGGATGTGGTGCTGAGGATCGAACCC